TAACAAAATTCCAGAAACTGGGTAATTTGTACATAAAAGTAATCTATTTTTCCTACTTCCTGAGGCTGGCAACTCCAAGATCAGGGATTTGGTGTCTAGTAGAGGCTTTCTTACCTTGTCCTCATGATAGAAAAGTGACAGGGGAAAAAAAAAAGCCTTAGGCTAGTTCCCTCCAGCCTGGTGATAAGGGCCTGAGTCATTCTTGAGGCCACCCTCATGACCTGGCCTGCCCTGAGGGCCCCAGCTCTTAGTACCCCCATGGTGGGGATTAAGTTTCAACATGAATTTTGCGTGGGCCAATTCAAAGTAGCAGCCCTCAGTCCAGACTGGAGATTGACAGTCAGAGTTTATCATCTTAGAATCTTGTAAGAGACTAATTAGTGTAGCCCCCCTTCTCTTTGATAAAAGTTTTTCTTTCTTTGTTGTCGTTATTGGTATGTGTATGTGTGCCCTGGTGTAAATGTGGCAGTGAGAAAAGCTGGTCCTCTCCTTGCACCATGTGGGTACTGGGGATGGAACTCAGATGGCTTGGTGGCAAGTCCCTTTACCCACTGGCTATCTCAACAGCCCTCATTCAATGTGGTTGAATTCTGGGCCCACTCTTTTCCGGCTGTTTGCTAACTTGACACGATGACTACAATTTATTACATGTTCTAATTTCTCTAAATTACAAGTATGAGGATTACAATGCTCACTTTTTAACTCTAGATGACAGGAAAGGATAACAAAGAGGAAAAAGTCTACAGCATGTTTTCATAGATTTTGAAAGCCCTTGAATGTCCCAGGTTTTAATATAGAAGGAAATTCTCAGATTACCCTGATAAAATGGTCTCAGCATTGATTATATCAAAAGTGTAAAAGCAGTGATGTTAATAAAGCAAGTTTGCGTCACTTAGAACCGTGTGATTGTGACACCTTTGAGAGACATCCAGGAGCCCTAAAACTGGTCATTTGGGTTGGCAGTTTCTTCTCTGAAATCTTTATTCAGTGATTCAAGAAAAGGAAAGGGTCATGCTGGCCTTCATATTCATATCTTTTGTAACATTACCTATGAATGGTGAAATAACCCATGAAGACAGGGCATAGAGGGGAACGTTAAGGGAATTAGAGATGTCAGCTAATTACAATCATTTAATGATAATTTTGAAGGCTGTGTGGGAAATGTAGGGTGATTATTTGTAAGGATTATGATAGACTTGTAAAAATACGCACATGCCTAGACTAGAAGGGAAGGTGAAAAGGGAAAAGTAGTTGGTGGGTGTGGGTGGGGTGATCATAGCTGATCTTTGCAGAAATCTTGTTAACTTTGTACAATGATACAGTTGGAAAAAATTCAGATCTGCTGAGAACGTTGTGTGTCTTGACCTTGGAAAAACTCACCTTTGCTCATGCTAAGGAACTCGGCATTACTTTATTTCCCCTTGGAGCATTTTATGGCTGACACAAGTAGTTCTTTTACAAATTTTAAAAATAGGGATGTAGTTTACCCCTTTAAAGCATATGAGCATTTGAGTTTTAGTGTATTCTCAAGGTTATACAACCACCACTACTGTTCTTTAAAGCATATGAGCATGTGAGTTTTCGTGTATTCTCAAGGTTATACAACCACCACTGCTGTCCTTTCAAAACATTTTCAACCTCCCCTGACAAGAATCCCTACACCTGCAGCAGTCCCTCCCCTCTCCCTGCTCCCACACTCTCTGCTCCCACTGTTTTCTGTTTTCTGTCTCTGTATGACCCTATTCTGGACATTACATGTAAATGAAATGCAGCCTCAAGACTGGCTACCTTTTCTCAGCAGAACTGTATTCATGGTTTATTCGTGATACAGTGTAAATCAACACCTCACTTGTTTTGATGGCCAAATAGCTCATCTTGAATATTTTGTTTTGTTTGCTTGTTTTTTTTTTTTTTTTTTTTTTTTTTTTTGTTTTTTTTGTTGTTTTTTTCACTGTGTAATCATCCTAGCTGTCCTGGAACTAGCTCTGTAGACCAGGCTGGCCTTGAACTCACAAAGATCTTTCTGCTTCTGCCTCTCGAGGGCTGGGATTAAAGGCGTGCATCACCAAGGCCCAGTTCATTTCAAGGATTTAACACGTCTTGTTCACGCATTTACCTGTGGATTGGCATCTGTGTGGTTTGCGTCTTTTGCCTTACGGATAACGTTGCTGTGAATGTTGGTGCGCAGGTTTTTGTGTGGAAGTAGATTTTCAGTTCTCTTGGGTAACTATGTAGGAGTCATGTGGTTACTCAGTGGTTAACTTTCTGAGAAATTTCTAAGTGACTGTCCTGTTTTATATTCTTACCAGCAATGTATGAAATTCATATCTCCATATCTTCATACTTGTCACACACACACACACACACACACACACACACACACACTTTATAGACATGCTAGACAATGTGAAGTGGTATTTCCTGTGGCTTTGAGTTGCATCTTTGCAGTTGTAAAGATGCTGAACATCTCTTCTTGGGTTTACAGCCACCACTATATCTTTGGGGGATGACTGTGTAGTTCCTTTGCCCATTTCTTTATTTATATTTTTAAATTGTGTGGTAATGTTTGTGTACACCTGTGTGTGGGTGTGTATATGTAAATGTAGGTGCTCACAGGGGTCAGCATCAGATCCCCTGGAGCTGGAGTAACACGTATGTATTGTTATCTGCTTGACATGGGTGCTGAGAACTGAACTCCAGCTCTCTTGACTGCTGAGCCATCTCCTTTTGAATATTAAGAGCTCTTTTTATATGTGGAATGCTAGGCAGTTGTCAGATATACGATGTGTAACTGTAATCCCATTTTGTGAGTTGCGTTTTTACTTTGGAAATGAAAGTCTTTAATGTTAGTAAAGCCAGTTTGTCATTTCTCTTTGGTTATACTTTTGTGTCATGTCTAATGCATAATTCCCAGATCCACAGTCATGAAGATTTATGCTTATGTTTTCATCTTTGAGTTTTACTGTTTTAGTTCTTACATTCAGGTCTTTAATCTTTCCTGAGTTAATGTACACAGTGTTAGGAAGGGTCAACTTTCATTTTCTTGTGTGAGTATCCAGTTGTCACAATATATTTGTTGAAAAAGACTATTCTTTCTCTATTGAATTGTCTTGACATCCTGTCAAAAATCAGTGGGTCATAAAAATGAAGGCTTTTTTTTCCTGAGCCTTAAATTCCTTTGCTGATATTTGTAGGCTGATACCATACTTTCTTGGTTCATGTAGCATTGTAATGAGTTTTTAAATTGGGAATTATGCACCTCTCAATTTTCATGGGTCAGCTGCCCATTTCTATAAAAAAAAAGTTAGACGTTTGGTAGGGACTTCCTGCTTCATTAGGTCTGTTTGGAGAGTGTTGTAATATTGATAATAGTAAGTCTTCATCCAGGAGTAGGGAATGTCCTCTCACTTATTTAGGTCTTTCTTTTTCTTCAGTGCATTGTTGGTAGTTTTCATTTGTTAAATTTATTCCTAAATATTTGGTTTGTTTTTTATACCACAGCAATGGAATTCCTTTTTAAATTTTATTTTCTAATTGTTCATAGCTATTATATAGAGATACAAGTGGTTTTTGTAAATTGACCTTACATTCTGCAACCTGTTGAACTTATTAGTAACAAATGGCTCTTAAAAATAGAAAAATGTTTTAAAAAAAAACATGCACTCTTGATGTCAGCCTGGTCTACAGAGCAAGTTCCAGGGCAGCCAGGGCTACACAAGAAACCCTGTGTTGAAAAACCAAGAAAATAACCACAACATCAGCAACAAAAAACAACCGTATAAATTTCTTGGCCTGGAGAGATGGCTCAGTGGTTAAGAGTATTGTTGCTCTCACAGAGGATCTGGGTTTGGTTCCTGGCTCCCGTTTGGAGGCTCACAGCCGACTATGACTCCACTTCTAAGGGATCCCGGTATCTCTAGCCTCCTTGAGCACCAGGTATCTATATACATAGATGCAGGCAAACATTCATACGCATAAACATAACACCTTTAAAATAGTTGTGAAAACATCCACATTCCTTGGGGTTATCATATTTACTTTTTCATTAGCCCTGGGGATGTTGCATAGTTGGTAGAGTATGTAACATACATGAAATCTTGGGTTCGATCCCCAGGTTCAAAGTCATCCTTAGCCACATAGCAAGTTTGAGGCCAACCTGAGCTGTGTGTCTGGCTGGAATTAATATTTGCAGGTTTTGTGGTTTTGTAGCAGTGCAGGGATTGTGATGAGTTCAGAAAGCAATCTGGGTAATATCTAAATTGTTTGACAGTGCCTTCAGAAGGTCGCTCTTCAAAGGTTTTCTTTGCAGGGGCTGGAGGAGGCCAGGCTTTTAGTTAGCACCTTTTAGTGTGCCACCATCCGTTTCCAGGTCACTAGAAAGGAAAATGAATCTCTGTATGCCAGGCCAGCTTTCTCAGAGCTACGTCCCAGCCCTCCCCTCCCCTCCCCTCCCCTCTCCTCTCCTCTCCTCTCCTCCTCTCCTCTCCTCTCCTCTCCTCTCCTCTCCTCTCCTCTTCTCTCCTCTCCTCTCCTTCTTGCCTCCTTCTCTCCTTTTCTCCCTCCCTACCTCCCTCTCTTCCTCCTTCCCCCCTTCCTCCCTCCCTCCCTCCCCCTTCCTTCCTCTCTTTCTTTTAAATGCCAGTGTGTGCAGAGTGGTAATCTGAGAGGGTCAGTGTTTTCCCACACAGCCAAGACAGCTGAGGGTATCTTGTGATCTTCACCTGAGTGTGCAAAGCCTCAGTTTTTCATTTGCCTGTCTGTGATCATAAAGCAATGTGCTTACTTGACTCAGAACCTCCATCCACAGAGTGGCATTTGGGGTTTAGACAGTCCTGAAACTCAGGCAAGACATGGAACTGTTTGAGCAGATTTTATGACAGAAAATTAAGACAAACAGAACAATACAGCGTGCTCTGCCGTCTCTTTTAAGGCACATTTCCTTTTGTCACTGATGGGTGTCCTTGATTTAAAGCTTGTCAGTAATAATGTCTTCTCTATAGGGCTGATCACTGAGCAAAGACCCAGCTTTCCATGCCCTCTTGCGTTGTATGCTGTCACCATCATTATGTCCTTGAAGACTTGGGGTTCTGGAAAACCGGGGAGATACAGTGAAGAGGCCCTCTGCTCTTTGTATGTGAGAAATAAAGGAATTTGGGTTTGGGGGTTGCATCTGATTTCAAAACATGTTCTCAGATGAACAAATCCAGTTTATTTTGAGTTGTTGGTAGCCTGCCTGGAATACAACTTTTTGATGTGATAGCTCTGTTTGATGTGATAGCTCTGATGAAATGAAAGATTGGTGGTGTGTCCCGTGAGCATACTAGTGCAGTCCTGCCGGGGATAGTTGAGATTCTGATAACCAGTGCTTCCATTGGGCTGTGGAAGTGACCACTGCAAACCCAATAAGACTGTCAAAAGGACACAAAAGAATAAAAGCTGTGCTCTGGAACCCTGTGCTTGAAGTGTACATAGAAGTTTCTAGACTGTCTTATGCTGATTACTAAAATAAAACTTTGTAACTTTGGTAAGGATTACATATTAGTTTAGTTCTATAAAATTTTGTATGATCTCAGATAAACAACATGATTTTTTTTCTGACTCATGTACAAACTTTCTAATAATTGCAGTCACACCACATAAAACGTTGTGGTCAGTGTTAAACAACATAGGATGGTGGTCCCATCAGATTATAGTGCAGTGGGAAAACTCCTGTTGCTGCTTGGGTTGTGAGGTTGAGGTGGAGCACGTTAGCTGTGTGTCTGTGGCAATGGTGTCTAATGCACCCATTGCACTGCCATTCATAGGACGTGGAGGGCATAGAATGTATAGCACAGGTCTGGTCACGGGTGACTATGGCATTGGCTTTTGTATTTATTATATTATACTTTACTCTTACTATATATTGTATCTACCACTCTTTTAGAGTGTATTCTTTTTTCCCCCCAAAAGAGGGTTTCTTTGTGTAGCCCTGACTGTCACAGGACTCAGTTCATAGACTAGCTGGGCTTGAACTCAGAAACCTTCCTGCCTCTATGGGGACTAAAGGCATGCACCACCACCACTGCCCAGCTACTAGAGTGTATTCTTCCTTGTGAAACAATACAACATAAAGTGTTCTGCTGTCAGCAGCCTCTCTCATCTCATATTTACTGCTGCTCTGGGATGCATTATGCTTTCTTCATAACTTTGATGAGATCTGTTCTTTGGCAAATTCACACATGTATATAATACATTGTAGCTGTTCCCCACCCTTCTCTCGGTAAGACTCTTTTTCTCATTTATATCTTTTATTTTGTGACCCCCTGAATTTAGCCAGGGTTATCTGTGTGACAGTGGGTTTGAAGCTTTTCATTGAAGCCCAGTGGCTTCATCAGTGACACTCAACTGAAGACAATGCTTGTCCCTCCCCAGAATTCATCAGTAGCCACTAGTTTAGCAAGGTTTGATTTAATCTTGCTTGTTCATGACCCAAAAAGCAATGACATACTCTCTCTCTCTCTCTCTCTCTCTCTCTCTCTCTCTCTCTCTCTCTCTCTCTCTCTCTCTCTCTCTCTCTCTCTCTCTCTCTCTCTCTCTCTCTCTCTCTCTCTCTCTCTCTCTCTCTCTCTGTGTGTGTGTGTGTGTGTGTTTGCCTGTGTATATACCATATATATCCCTGTTGTGTCTTATTCAGGATGTTTGCATAATGACAAAATCACCTAAGGATGTGATTTTTTTTTTAGGAATGTGTTTTTTACAGGACAAGTAAGCTGTCATGTAGCACAACATAATGACATATTTTTTTTTTTGCATAATGACAAAATCACCTAAGGATGTGATTTTTTTTTTTAGGAATGTGTTTTTTACAGGACAAGTAAGCTGTCATGTAGTGTCTTTTACTAAAGTCTGTCTTAAAATAATGCAAGATGATGACAAATAGACTTGCTCTCTATTCTGTTAGCTAACTTAAGGAAAACAAGCATTTTAGGAAGAGAAGCTGATGTTTGCTTTGCTGACAGACAGCTTTGCACCATGTGTATTGCACAAACAAACATTATTTACTCCATTCCTGGATATTTAAAAGTATCCACCAGGTTTGACCTGATTACTGGGTGGGGAAGTCCACTAGTTAGTACAGACCTCCTAGCAGCATCTGTGCCTTCCTCTGGAGCAGGAATGGGCTGGGATGTTTCTCCATGCTGGAGGACGCATCGGTCCTCTGAGGGACCACAGAGGCAAACATGCTGGCAGAGCAGCCTTAACTGGTTTAAGATGGCTTAGCTCCCATTAGCTAAACATCCAACAAGTCAGCAGGTCATGCTCGCTCTGTGACCTCAGAAGGCCACTCTCCAAGCTAGATCTTAGAGAAGGTGTGAAGGTTTGCTGTTCTTTCCACAAATGGTAGCAATGTCCCTTTCCTACATTCATATCACCCATCCTGGTAGCTCGAGGCCCAGCCATACTGAATGTTATAAATATTTCCATAAGGGTTATGTGGTCCCGCCACCTGTTCAAAGGTAAATGGAGGTATTTCTAGCAGAGTTCCGGATTGCGGGCAATCATTACCTACTTTTCCTTCTTCTTCTTCTTCTTCTTCTTCTTCTTCTTCTTCTTCTTCTTCTTTTTTTTTCTAAACTACAAGATTTCTTAAGGAAAATAGCTAGTGACTTCCTTCTCTTGCTGCAGCTTCAGCTTGAGTTCTCAACAATCTGGCTTCAGACAGTCTTAGCCAATGATGTCACTGGCGTCTTGGTTGTCACCCTCCCCAGCTGTTCTGGCTCCTTCGCTGAGGTTGGCAGTAGCTGTGGACCACTCTCCTCTCCAGCATGGCTCTCACTGAGCCTCTGTTCTCCTCCAGCCTCCCTCTCTCTCTCTCTCTCTCTCTCTCTCTCTCTCTCTCTCTCTCTTGAATTTCTCCTCCATTCCTAAGGCAGCCTTTCCTGAGATCTTTGTCCTTGTTGCTCCCTTTCATGGACTTTCTTTGATTCAGTCCGTAAGCTTTATTGAGTGGTGTTCTAGTAAAGAACTGTGGGCCATATGCAGTTTAATCAGACCCATTTTCTGTTCTGTAATGTGTTATACACATCAACTGTTTCCCTCCTCGTGTCTTGTTAGTGATTTGCTTTTGAAATGCTCTTTAAGTTGTTGGGTTCTTTTTTTTTTTTTTTCCCACTGCTACCACCCAGGCCCTTGGGGTTCTTTTATTTTATTTGTGCCTGCCATGCTCTTTATGCTCCATAAGTGCATTTTATCTTCAAGTTAAATTAATGTTGCTTTTTTTTCTTCTGTATTTTGCCACAGCGTCTTGCAGTGTAGCTCAGGTTGACCTTAAATTAATGAAGTTCTTGCCTCTACCTCCCAAAGGCTGAGATTATAGGTGTGTGTCTGTTTGTTCAGTTCATTAGTCTGTTTAAAATGAATTGGTGAGGGTTTCTCTCTCTCCCCCTCCCTCCCCCGTTCTCCCCCTTTTGCTATCTCACAACTTCTGAGCTGTTCTCCTTTGCTTTGTTTCAGGAAGCCTGCCTCAGCCAGGATCACCACCCTTGAATGTAGCATTGTACCAGACGGTGAAAAGCCTCCTCTCTTTACAGTAATGACAGTAACTTTTTCAGATATCAAATGACCAAGATAGAGAAAAGTAATGCAGAGCTGTTGTAGGCCCGTGAGGTGCAGACCCCTGTGGCTCCCTCCTTACTTTTACATATGACTCTCTGCTCCTGCACCCTGGCCTTCCTGCTTTTTTTTTCTTTCCTAGGTCAGGTTTTTACTCAGAGGCCACCTTAATATAAGGCTGTGACATTGACATCTAAAATTTCAGTCCTTTCCCAAAACACTCATCTGTCACTGTCCTTTTTATTTTGTCTCTTTGCACACAAAGACCTGGCACGTAGGGAAGGAAATGTTGAGGGGATGTTATTGGCATTCGGTGTGATTCGAGAGCTTTTGTAACATCAAGGCTAGTGGTATAATTGTCCAGAAGGTAATGGCCGCATGTTTAGGAACCAGAAACTTTCTTCTGTATCTTTTCCCTCTGAGGTTCACTCCAGGTATCTGTGATCTCAGAAACCAGTTAGCAACTGGAAACACACAGTGCTCATCCAAACATCTTTTAATTATTTAAGAAAATTAAGGCAAAGTATCCATAACATCGCGTTTTCCATATTAGGTGTGCAGGTCACGAATGTTAAAAACTTTACGAGGCTTTGCAGCCCTTGTGAAACCTTAAAGAATCTTGCCAAATGCAGACTGCATGCTCATTGGACGCTGAGTTGCTGTTCCATGCCATCAATCCCCAGCCTCTGAAAAAGGCTTTGCAGCCCTTGTGAAACCTTAAAGAATCTTGCCAAGTGCAGACTGCATGCCCATTGGACGCTGAGTTGCTGTTCCATGCCATCAATCCCCAGCCTCTGAAAACCACTTTTCTACTTTCAGTGTCTTTGTTCTTGGATTTGCTTTGAGACAGGGTCTTACTATATAGATTTGACTGGCCTGGAACTTGCTATGTAGTCCAGGCTAGCCTAGACCCACCTGTCTCTGTCTGGGATTAAATGCACGTGCCTCTATGCCCCGTCCTGCCTTCTGTCTCTGATTGTAACCATTCTAGGGATCTTACAAGTGGCACTATAAAGTATTTGTCCCTTTGTATGTGACTTATTCCACATGTCCTTGAAGTTCATCCTGTTATGGCATGTGTCAAAATTGACTGAAAAATATTTTGTTTCACGTCTATAACAGGTTTGGTGTATCTGCTTGTCTTTGATGGGCACTGGGTCACTTCTGCTGTGTACATGAACACAGGTATTCAAATACTTGATCCTCCATTTTCAGTTCCTGAGATACACACCCAGATGTGAAATTGTTGGATTATAATGATGAATTCTATTCTGTATGTAATTGTTACACACACACACACACACACACACACACACACACACACACACACACTCTTACCATGGAACTCTGGCTGGCCTGGAACTGGCTATATAGATCAGGCTGGTCTCAAACCCACAGAGATCCTCCTACCTCTGCCTTCTGGGCACTGGTATTAAAGGCGTGCGCCACCTCACCCGGCTTAAATATATATTTAATCCATATTTAGTGTCTTTGAGGCACACGTGGAGATCAGTGGACAACTCAAGGGAGTCTATTATTTTCTTCTACCACAAGGGGCTTGGGCCTCAAATGCAGGATGCCAGGTTTGACAGCAAGCACTGTTACCCAGCGAGCCATCTTGTTGGCCTTAGTTTGTTTTTTTTTTTTTTTTTAAAGATTTATTTATTTTATGTGTATGTGTTTGCCTTTGTGAGTTTCTGTGACTACGTATGTGTAGAAGCCCTTAGAGGCCGGGAGAGGGGTGAGATTTCCCAGGAACTAGAGTTACAGGTGGCTGTGAACTGTCATGTAGATTCTTGGAACCAAACCTCTGCAAAAGCATTAGGCACTTTCAATGGCTGAG